AACAGGGTTCTCTCTCAGGAGCTGTGCTATCTTTGATAGCAACATACGTGAATTTTAAAGAAAAGCGCATTTTGTTGTTTCACACAGACACTAATACTGTGTACTATGGCTAAAGTTTGAAGTATCAAAAACACTGATTTTTATTATTTTTTAAATGTCTGACGATTAATCATGATTAATCATCGTTCCTTATTATGTCAAAAACATATAACAGCAGGTGGATTTTATTTGTGACTACCAAGCTCAGTGGAGCTGGTCTGACGCGTCTGACTGGAAGTTGAAGCCTTTGCAGGATGAGACTGTATTTTGAACTCAGTGAACTCAGTGAAGTTGAGCAGTGATGAGTGATCGGACGGTGGAATTATTGGATTCACATCTGGACAGTATGTACGTTGGATTTTATTTGGATTGGTGTGTGTTTTTTCTGCCCATATGCCCAAAAATTAGTTAAAAAATGTTAATCAGATTCATCTTAAATGCAACTGAAAAACACACCTGGTAACACTGTCTGAAGCCTTTATGTAATGTAATCTGATTACAGATGTACAATAAACTTTATCTTGCACCGTTGACAACGCCGCGCTCGTCTCGTCTCGTGGCCGTGTTTGTTGTCACACGTGACATTTCTGTTTGGGTGTCGACACGTGCTCCTTTGTTTTGTTTTGTTTTTCTCGTGGCTCCATTGGTTTTACTTTCATTTTGACTTCCAGACAGCCGGCTCACGTACACTCACTATTGTGTAAACACGCTCCTGTGCCAGAGAGGGTTGAGCAGTCTAATATTAAGTCATATCATCTTTAGCTGTCACAATGGCAGACAGTGGATCTGGTGCAAATGGTTGCATGAGGTCACAGTGTTTACCTTTAGATTCAGGCAGATTGAACTGCTCTGTCACGAACTGAACTCAGGGAATTATGGGATTGCAGTAAAATGTTTCTTGTCATAGAGGTTATAATATTTAGATAATGTAAATTTTGGGGGAACCAAACGTATAAGAAACCTGAAAACCTGACAATCAGCGTAGGTTATATTGAAATTTATAACATAACATAACACTGAGTGGATTTTGTTAAATATTTTACTAAACCAAACATAAGTGTGTAAAGCCACCATCAGCCTAGAAAACTTTCTTTTTTTTTTTTTTTTAGATATATATAAATAATTTGACTTGTGAAGAAGTGCAGGTGTGTCCGTGATTAACTGTCTGTACCCTGCAGAAACAATCACTGACATTCATTGTTTGACAGCTCTCTGCTCTGCACCGATCATGAACCTTATCAGATATCAATCCTGCCTCGGGCCGAAGTTCGCTCAGTTTTGGGTTTCACATCTGGATTTTCAGAGGTTATGTGTGTGTGTGTGTGTGTGTGTTGATTGTGTTTCCCAGAAGCGCTGCTGCTCTTTATACTTCACTGACATGAATAAAGTTCGAGCCTCAGGGATTTAAACGAGAAAAGGAAACGAGGCAGGGACGCGTGGATTCCCGGTATGGAGCAGCAGGTTACCCTCATATTGTAATATTCCAGAGAAGTAGCGCTGATGTTCGTTCTTACTGGCACGTTTGGTGAGTCATACGTGACTCATAACACGTGGGTGGGTTAAAAAAAAGGGAGGGAGGGAGGGAGGGAGGCAGCGTGTTGTTTTTACCGCTGGGTCCTCGGCTCCCAAACTGCACACACACACACACACACACACACACAGCAGTATCCAGGCAGAGCAGCGGTCATGTGACTGCTGTTTTCTTTTTCTTTTTTTTTTCTTTTTTCTTCCTTAATCGCAGAGATAAAAACCTCTCTTTACCGTAAACACGCCTTCGCTTCACTTCACTTCCCTGCAGCAACACTAACCTTCAAGGATAAGTCCACTCAAATATAATAGCTACTGCCACCACCACCACGACTACTACAACTGCTGCTGCTGCTGCTACAGTGAAGAGTATTGACTGTCAGAGCCTGATCATCAGCCTCTGTGCAGGATCAGTATCGTTTCCTCCTCAGATATTTATTTAAATACCAAACAGCAGAGTGAGATCACTGAACCCTCCAGTAAACAGTGAGTCACCGCCGTCTCTGAAGACCACTCAACGGCAACTGGTCTTTACACTGAAACATGCAGGAAGCAGGAATTTGTGACAAATAAATAAACCTTAGAAGACAAATAGCCACGGACATTAATATTGGGCTAGGTGGCGCTGTTTTATGGACAGAACGTGGAAAAACTTACAAATGGAACAGGGAGGAATTTGTGGAAATTAGAATCAAATATTTTTGTTAATTGTCTCAGTCATTTATACCGAGTCATTGGTTATGTATGGAAGGATGGAGAGGTATATATATAATGCACAACGGTTCCTGTTGAGACAATTATTTAAATGCCAAACAACTCGTCTCTCCAGTGGACACTAGGACCTACAACCAGGCTCTAGATAACTCCATCTGCAGCTGAACTTTAAGGTGGAACGTGCAGGAAATTCTGAAATAATGGACCAAAGAAAAATCCATTTTCATCTGCACTGATGCTTCCCTCTGTCTGTGTTTTTCATTACTTTCGTTACTTTGTTTTTTTCTGGCTAAGGATGTACCTTCCATTTCTTTTACAGATAATTATTTAAATGCAAAACAAAAGAGTGAGATCAACAAACTCTCCAATAAACACCTCCACTTACTGCAGAACATTCAAGAAATATAATATTGAAACAGGTACATTTGTGCACACCCTGTCTCTGAACAACATTCAAGAGCAACTTTGAAGGTGGAGCGAGCAGAAATGTTAGTAAACAAGGTAACAGCTGATCCACATTTATCAAGTAAAATTCCACTAATAAAAAAAAAAAACCCAGAGGAAAACACGAGTGTCGTGTGGTTGACTGTCATAAAAACCACTAACCTTTGCCATAAAACTGTAAAAACCACCGCTCCGCTACAGTTTAAACAATGTTGTTTTGAACTCTGGGTCGTCTGAGCTGAGGAGGATAAATTACGACTTCCGGGGGTGGAACTACTGCCACTTACAGTAAATACCCCACAGCTCCAACAGGAGAAAAGTTACTGTCATTTAACAGAACCTTTTCTCATTATTTACTAAATCACTTTGTTTTACGAGTAAATGACTTTCATCACTGACAGTTTATTGTTTCTCTCCGTACGAGAACATGTTTAAAAATGTGAACTGCAATGTTGCAAAACTGAGAAAATCCCTGCTCGTTTGTATAATGACTGTGATTAACAAGGCACTTTTGACGGATGTATTCCGAACACATCACTGGATTTAATAATTTATAATAATTCAAACTTGACAAACGAAGTCGCTACAGTGACTGCAGAGTGAAAGCAAAAGGCGACGGCTGTCGTTCAACAGCGTACACAAGAGAGCGTGTCCTAAAAACACTCATTATGGTGAAGTATTTTTGTCTCTGAGTTGTTTTTAAGAAGCAACGTGACAGGAATGAGTGAGAAGAAGAAAGGTTGAAGTTCCTCTCTCACCTCCACGCAGTGTCAAGAGTGTGAATTTCACATTGTTGCTTTGAGAAAGTGACGGAAGTAGTTTCTGACAGAAAGCCTGTCTCCAGATTTAACATTTCATTCTTTTTTTTTTCTTTTTTTGTTTCTTCCTTCCTAACAGTTCACACACCATTCCTGTGTTTCCTCCTGCTCCTGGCACTGCTTCCTGCTGTGGAATTGTACCTTTAAATATTCCAGCATGTCAAGGGTGAGGTTTGTATTTCAGTAGTATTTCATCATCTTCCAAAGAAGCGATTATGAAGACCAGTGTCTGTGTCATCGTCAGTAAGTCTGGTTTGAAGACAAAACAAAAACAAATGTCATTCTAAGGTTTTGGAAAAACGACTTCTTTCAGCAGATCTGAATGTCATGAACTGCTGCTGGGATGTTAGTATGCCATTGGAGCTGGGGGGGGGTCAAAGGTCACCGTTGGGTCAGTTGGACTTGTGCATCACCTTTCGTTCTGAACTGTCCATCAACACTCGCTGTCTCGTCAGCATCATCCCGCTTTTCTGCAGTCACTGTAGAAACTGTTGCCATGACACCAAATGTCCACAAGTGATGTGTGAGTTGCAGGTGCAGAAACGCTGTGTGTGTGTGTGTGTGTGTTTGCAGAGTTTGTTGTAAACTGATCCACAGCAGCCTCAGTGAAAGATAATATGAATCTGACTCCCAGCCTTTTCCACCACAGTCGCCCAAACACCATGAACTACTTCACTGTGACAGAGTACATGTGTAGGTATGAAATACAGTGTGTGTGTGTGTGTGTGTGTGTGTGTGTGACATCAGTGCCTGTGATCACACCACAAAAACGTTCATGACGGCTGAAACATCAGCCCCCCCCCTTCACCCCCAGCTCTCCTCTCTCCGCAGCCTCGACTGTGAACATACGAGTCGCCCGTGTTTATCTGTGGAACCATATTTGGATCAATCACAGCTGGAGGTTTGGACTTTTCTACCACGGATGCAGCAGAGCTCTCGTTTCCAATGCAAATTCTGATCTTTGCTTCTTTAACTTGTGTGAAAGAGAAAAAAAAATTTAAAAAGAGAAAAGTTCAAACTCGACTTTTCAGAACTTTTCAGCTGCAGTGATTCATTTGATAATAAAAAAAAACTCCAGCTGAAAAAAAAGAGTCGAACGCATTGTTCAACATTTAAGGACAACGAATGTGGACACGGACCAGGTTTACTGGACATTTGGACTTGTCCCCAGTGATTCAGTTTCAAAAGTGAAACCTCTGAACTGAAGTCTTTCCAGAGTTCAAAGGTCTGTGATTAAACGTTTCCTTTTCTAAATTCCTGCGACACGATTCATTTTCATCTGAACTGAATTGTACTTTACAAACTCCAAATAATGGTCTCCTGAAAAAAACTAAATTGTCTTCTAATGTTATAAATGAAGTGACATCCATTAGAATTACTGTGTAGACGCTTCGTGAAATAGTTCATGAAAACATTTTTCATGTTTCGATAAACTAACAATTCAGTTTTGTTTTTCTAAACAAGTGAAGCTCAGTTTTAAAATAACCTTGACCCTCCTCCTCCTCCTCCTCCTCCTCCTTTTCCTCCTCCTTTTTCGCCTCTCCTCCTCCTCCCTCCAACGGTCCCTTTTTCTACACTCTGCTCTAATTTGCGTGCGCGGCGCCGCGTGAGCGGGCACGCACGTTGGGGGCTCGGTCCCTACGCAATGGAAAGGGGGCGCGCCCGACTTAAAGCAGCGCGCTGTCCAGTGTTGATGTGTCGCAGCTTTTAAAAAGTGAAGCAGCAGCTGGAGCAGGAGCAGCAGGAGCTGCAGCGCCAGGAGTTTGGCTCAGCAGCGCAGCCTCTCTCTGGAGGAAGGAGCTGACACTTTGATTCCGTTTCCCCTTCTCATTTTTTTAATTTTTTTTATTTAAATTTACTCTCAAATTAATTTGTGCACTTGCGATCTTGACAACAGCGCACCAACACAAACACAAACAGCGGAGCAGCGCTGGAGCCATGGAGCTGTCCTCCATAGGAGACCAAGTGTTCGCCGTGGAGTCAATAACGAAGAAGAGAGTGAGGAAGGTGAGAGTGTGTGACACTTGACTCAACTTACATAACTTATTTTCCTACGGAGCAGCAGCAGCAGCAGCAGCTTCACTGCGCGCTCACTCACTCACTCACAGCACAACCTGTGTGACGTAGTTTATCGTCCCCTCTACTTTACGTTACCAAAATCTAACGTAAAATAACGCCTGCGTCACACGTGCGGCCGCCGTGTTTACCTGCGTTCTCCTGCGTTTCTGCTGGTGCCGTGTGTGTGTGTGTGTGGAGGAGCCCACGCAGTTGTAGTAAAGTGTGGGAGGGGGTGTGTGTGTGTGTTCGTGGGTACCGCTGGATGGGAGCTGCGCACTTCGCTATTCCGCTTGTTCCCCTCGCCGTGCGTACGATGAGCGGCGACTGTAACGAAAAGTGCTGCGTAATATTGTCACGCATTGCTGCGTGACGATGTCCCGCAAAAACGGGGAGCATGTGCGCACAGCGTGTCCCGTACTGCACAATAAAACTGTGTGTGTGTGTGTGACATCACTTTCCTTTTTTTTTTATACACAGCCCTTTTGAAAAGTTTGCAATTCTGTGAGATAAATGTTAAAAATCCACGCAACACGGAGCAGTTTTTTTTTCTTCTGCCACGCGAACGTCGGCAGGATTACGCGCACTTGTTTGTCTCTCTCTCTGTGCCTGACGCGTGTTTGGAGACTCGGACGTTGCGCAACACTGTGTGTTTACGCGTTCCCTATTTGGCCCCACCTTTACTGGAGCCGCGTTCTAGAAAGAACCAGCGCGTAGTGGAGACCGGCGCGTGTAGCCATGTGCGGTCACGTCAGCGCGGTGCTCGGAGACAGAGCTGCTGTTCGGAGGCCACCCAATCCCGCTGTCATTGACGTCATGCGGGAGAAAAACAAGGTTTGAAAGGCAGAAAAAAAGTCCATGACCCTCCCTCTCTAACTCCCTCTCCCTCTCTCTCTCTCTCTCTCTCTCTCCCCCC